GGTGTGGTGGTGTTCTGGTGTGGTGGGGTGGTGGGGTGGCGGGGTGGTGGGGTGGTGGGTTGGTGGGGTGGTGGGGTGGTGGGGTGGTGGGGTGGTGGGGTGGGGTGGTGGTGGATTTGGTGGTGGATTTGGTGGTGGATTTGGTGGTGGATTTGGTGGTGGATTTGGTGGTGGATTTGGTGGTGGATTTGGTGGTGGATTTGGTGGTGGATTTGGTGGTGGTGGTGGTGGTGGTGGTGGTGGTGGTGGTGGTGGTGGTGGTGTTTCGTGTTTCGTGTTGTTGCTTGGTGTGTTTTGTTGTTGTTTGCTGTTGTTGGTGTTGGTGTTGGTGTTGGTGTTTGTGTGGTTGCGGTTGTGGTTGTGGTTGTTGCTTGTTGCTTGTTGCTTGTTGTTGCGTGGTGGTGTTTGTTGTTGTCTGCTGTTGTTTGTTATTGATTGTTGTTGGTGGCGTTGCTTGTGTAGTAGTCGTTGTTGTTGTTGTTGTTGTCGTTGTTGTCGTTGTTGTTGTTGTTGCTGTTAATTTTTGTTGTTGTGAATTGTCAGTTATGCCGAGCCCGGCAGCTGGCAGCTTAATGTACTTCCAGTGTCACATGCTGTTGGTGCTGCAGCGGCCCGAAGTTTCACTATGGAGTTCGTTTGCTCACGGAGCTACTTCGCGCACGTCAGCATGCGCATATTGCTCACAACCTCCAGTGCCAGAGCTCTTACGGCGACTGCAGCCGACATCGTAGCCCAAGGACAATACATGAGGGCTGGGAGTACACACACAAAGAACACACAGGTTCTAGGCTATGGTCTAGTGCCAGTCCATTGCATTCGTGATTGCGGAGCTGTGTTTGTTCAGGACAGGTGTATGTCTACCATTGAGCACCTACTCTCTACAAATTGTGTGCTGACGGAACATGCTTGAGCCAGCTTGGCAGTAACTAGCAGCTGTTGCTTGATTCCGGCTCAAAGTTGAGGTGACCAGATCAAAAAGGTGACGGACCACATCCAGCAGAAGTTTGAAGTCAGTTTTCTTAACCAGCGCCCTGTCTCGGTCAGCCGGCGGTTCGCCCCTTGTTGAAGTGAGTTCTCGGATCAAATTTCACACGTCTATCTATTGGCTAATTATGGTCAAGTGTCGAGACTCCCCGATCGTCTGTTCCAAGAAGGCTGAGCAGTCTTAGCTCGCTGGTGTGTGTTCCCAGCCGTTGATGATGTCACCCCCATCTCTCCCTTTTGGCACCTTTGGTGGCGCAATCTTACGCCACCTCACGGACACCAACATCACATTTCACGTGAGAAGGATGATGCACTGCCCTTGTCAAAAATTGCCACCGGAGTCCACGAATTACGCAGTCTAGTCTCGTCACGCTACAGTGCTGTTAGACATGAAGGCGCTTTCTCTGTGTAGCATCTTATGCCAGTCGCCGTGCCCAGTGGCCGCTGCATCCGCACCTCCTAAACCCTGGTGCCGCACGCGGCCTTCCGCAATTGGCAAGGGTCGGCTCTTAGGGGAGCAGTTGGTGGTGAAATTAGCCAATCCAAATCTAGAAGACTTCCAGGTCGAATTCACGGGCCATTATTCAGAAAAGGTGCCCACTTACATTGATCGACTTCGACTTCCCAAAGCCCGACTTCCTGGTCGCAGTTGGCAAAGTCGCTTGGCTCTTGTCATTCTTATCGCAATAATTAGTAGGCCAGATTTTGGATTTCGGGGGTTTCACTTTAGGAACTAGTGTTGTGGGTTTTCGGATATTTCCCGTTGTCCGTTCGCCGTGTACACGCCCAGGGTCCCGAGGACCCCACACTGTCAGGTCATGGACAGTCTTCAGGACGTCTTGAACACGGTCGAGAGGACCATGAACAAGGAGCATTGCATCGAGGTGACCTGGTCCGGCTGGATTTGGGCATGTGGTCTCGGATTTTTGAAGCATACTACGTTGGTACAGTACATCAACAGAGTGCAAGGGCCTGCAAAACTTTGAACTAGTCAGCGGTTTGCAGCCTACTGTGAGCTTCCAAACATGTCTTGGAAACGAAGTTCGTCTGCGCGACCGCCCCAAGACTCAGACCCAGGCCCTCAGCTCAACAGTTGATTTAGCCAACTGAAAGGAACGCCTGCATAGGATACAACCATCTTGAATCCTGAATCTCGAAATCGATCTCAAGCAAGCCCAAGCCCTCTACAAAAATTCTAGCGCACGCTGCCAAGTACGACTGGCCCAAATCCGAGATTCGACACGCATGCTCGTGCCCGGGCGGCACGTGGGTCCTGGAGATTTAGTATTTAGGGTTCATGGTGGGTCAGGGCAACCGACGGAGAGCCTATTTGCTACAGGATCCACACAGAAGGAGTAGGTCACCCGCACATGAGACCCGATCAGCCTATAGAACTGCATTGGAGTTCAATGGATTCGAGGACAAAGGCAGCGTCAACCCCTTCATTCGCCGAAAACAAGTCGGTTTGTTGTTCTAGGCGTTCAGGGTTCTGGTTCCGGGCATCGAGTAATAGCGGCGAAGGCTCGGACCTTGAAACAATCTCTATACCGCATGCCTCAGGTTTAGTAGTTGAGGGCTTCTATCGCCTACCTCTCCGGGCCGTTACCAAAAACGCTCAAAAGGGCGCACCAGAATCTTTCCCTGAGCTTGTTCATCCTACGCTCAACACTAGCTCGATGTTATAGATACTGCCATTGAAACTCATTTTATGTATAGTTTAAGGCCTACCTTGCTTGCCAAGGCGGGTGTGTGTCAAGACCCCCAGAAATGGTCGCCGCCGCCGATGGTCTGGCATCAGGTGGAAGAAGTCGTGTGCCAGGAGCCTGTAATTGAACGAGTGTTGGGCTCCGGGAGTTCAGGAGGTGTTTTGGTGTTAGCTCTTACGATCTTCCATGCGCATGTTGCTGGCTCTCAGGTGGAAGATTCCCCAGATTCCTTGTCTTGAGTGTCCAGATCTGCGTATGCGTGGGGTTTGACCCATGCCGTCAAGTATTGGGCTCTCCTCTTGTGATGTAGTTCAGGGGGCCGTGATGTGAGGCGGGCTTGCACAGATCCTGAAGGCATTCCAATGGTTGAAGTACGGACCCTAAGAAAGATATCGCAACTAAGCAAGTGTGTCGAGTTTGAGAATCTCAACGCGGGTTCTGGATTGGGCCCCGCGCGCTTTTTCAACCAGTAGGTGCGGCGATGCTCGGCTATCGGAGTTCAGCTGCTTTTGGGGAACATCTGATGAGCCTTTACGGGGTCGTAGGCTGCCTGCGAAATCGTGTTCTGCAAGGCCCAGCTTGCACACAGGGATTTGCAAGTTCCTGCCTTCCAAATCTTCGTGGCAGGTTTTGACAAGGCAGGAAACCCCAAACACCGCTAAACCCTAGACGGGACCTCCAAAAAACCTTGTCCCCAAACCCTAGCGTGGTCCCAGGAAGTGAAGCACAGCCTGCAACCCAGTGTCCCTTACTTAGTCTTAGTATTCCTGTTCTCAGGACATGCGTCCCGTACACACACTTCTGGTTGGAGACAAAGCAACATGGCTTGATGGGCTCAGAGTTTCCGGTAGGCTGTATTGAATCTCGCCATGGAAGTTGACGTCAAGTCTGGCAGTCGTCGGAGCGCCGTTTTCGCATGTCAATTCCACGAGAACTGCTACTACATTTGGTGTGTGTTATCTTTGCAGCTCTCTATTGCCGTTCGAGTGGCCATTCCTCATCCAGGACCATCAACCACATCTCCGATCTTCTCAGCCCTAAATCCTTTATTGCATCTCCAACTTATCCGGCTCAGGGTGCCCGATCCAAGCCAGATAACCTGCTGAGGCGACATTGCTTCAGCGCGAAGACCAAAGGGCTCAAAAGACGAACATAGCAGAAAGATTGGCTAGGCAGTATCTTGTTCGGGTCCTTCAGGATTGAGGGGTTGGACTTTGGAGTTTAGGAGTTTGGTGAGTTTAGCAATCCGTTTTACTCCCGCCTTCAGTGCTGCAGCGAACCCCAACTCTGGCATCTGACACCGCGGCCTGAGCCCAAGAATGGCTCTTGATGGCTTGTGGGCTCGGGTCGAGGGTTCAGCGTCCTCTCGAGAGGAAAATCCTGGATGGTATCTCTGGCGCACTGCAGGCCGCCGCTTGGATCCTATTTTTGACTGATTCGGAAGTCGGCGCCTCACCAGGCACATAGCATGCGCAAACTTGGATCCAAATCCTGAGAAATGGTTCCTAAATCTTAGACCAGGTCGTAAACGCCATAGTGAACCCCAGCAACTTGGAATATGAATTAGGAGGATTAGTGTGGGGTTTATAGGCTTCCTAATCGAGTTGCTGTCAGGGTTGCCATAAAGGTTTCTATATTGTAAATTCTGAGCTGGGTGAATTGAATTGCAAGCTGCGATATGACGCGAAGAACTCGAGACCACAGCTGGAGCGTTTGCGCTTGGTGATGTTCAGGTTTGTTAAAGCTTTTGAGATGTGTTGGGGTGCGTTTGGGGGACTTTACGCTTTGCGGCCTTCAGGTTTTCGGGCATGTTTGCGTCTCGGGTTCCTTGCTCAGGGTGTTGTGTTTTATTATGTTTTGTTGGGGGGCTTGGGGTCCCTGACCAACCATAGTCTACTTCGGGTATGTTATCCCTTTCAGCGTGGCGTGGGCTCATCTATGCTTGAACGGTCAACCCTGTTGGGTCGTATAAACACTCGATAAAGACCCTTTTTAAAGCCAATAGACACCTCAGGCAAAGCGCAATACAAACCCCTTATAGGTTAAGGCCCAATAAACCACCTTGTAACAAGCTTGAAGTTTCTCGAGAACCCTCTCAGCGCCGATCCGCCCAGGCGTTTGGGCCCATCTTGAAAATCATCCAGGACGCCATTGACGCGATTCTGAAACCGGTGCAGCCGGGGCCTCGGGCGACGGCCGGGGGGCGGGCTGCAGTGGCTCCAGGTTTAGAGTCTTTGGTCTTTAGCTTTGACAGAGTGTCGCAGGGTCTTTGCAGATTTAGGGTTTCTGGGTGTTAGAGGAAAGAGGGGATATGTCTCAGATCGGCAAGGTAATACTTTGGATCATTCTCCCGTGCAGTGGCAGTTGGGTAGCCGTTACTGTGCTGCAAGTGGGTGTGCTGGAGAGTGTAGGTTTACAGGGCGTAGGGGTCTCGTGCCAAAAAGTGCCAGAGAAGCTGGATTGCTTCAAAATTGGGCGGAGGGAGTGCGCTATCCTCGACCCCGAGTCACGCGGTTGAAGTCGGGTGGGGGCCGTGTAGGGTTTCATACACGATGTGTGGGTTCTGGGTCATCCACAAACAAGAATACAAATCACGTTTTCGGTACTCAGTGCCATTTCAGCCACTGACCTTAGTGTTCAGGATGTGGGGTCCAGCAATGGCCCCAAGCTTGCCTGCATTTTGGACTCTCACCGGTCAGGCATGCTTCCAAGCTTTGTTTTTCAAATTTATGTGTTTGAGTAGAGCATTGATAGAAAGGGCCGTCGTTCCCTGGCTAGGATGCTAACACGAATCAAGACGGCAACCATTAACCATTGAAATGATGGAGAACAGCATGAAGCAAGAATAGTTCAGCTGGACGAGTTGTGTTCTCCTCGCGACAGTGCTTTAGCAAGTAAGTTTGTAATTCGGTGATCTCCTGGCCTGGCTAGTGTTCTGAACTCCTACGGCAGCCTGTTTAATTTCAACATGTATGAAGCCACCACGCACATGTGTACGGTGCCGACCCACAACATCGCACCAAACTTCGGATCCGACAATTAGGGAACACACCCGGGAGGTTTTCAAGTCATACGCAGTTCTGAATTCTAAATCATCAGCTAGAGTCATAAAATATGTGTATTGGAGTAATCCCCCTATACCTATGTTGTCTAACAAGCGCTGCTGAGTTGTGATTGAAGTGCCCGGCTTGGCGGACATGTTCGAACGAGGGATGCGCTGTCTTGATTACATACATACACGTGCACACATTCAGAGCATGGCATTGTGCGTTCCTTGTGCCCATTTGCAAGCCTTCTATCTCCCGACAGGAACATACTGGCTGGGATTGTGGACGAGATCACGAAGCCGTTGGAGAAAATGAAGATGCTCTGCTGGCACTACGCGGGGTAAGCAGGAGGATTCCGTTCGGTTGTGAATGTTTATGATGCTGATCGGGGATCTTCAACCACCACTTTTGAATCCAGCGCCCGACTCTGTTACAGTTCCTTTAGACTCTGCAACGGATTCCGCTGAAGGTGCGAAAATGGTAGCAGGGTGCGAGATACACCAAATCTCAGCTTTGGCTGCACCTCGCTGTGTCATGCGGCGCATCCGGTTCCAGCATGTAGCGTGTATGAAGATCACCAGCACGCATCAGAAAGATTCGTGCGAGAGCGTGCTTTCGTCGACTCGGCTCACAGGGCACCGTCGATCGGTCTCTGTAAGGAGCCTCAGAGCCCACGAGTTTCGGCCCCAGGCTTGATCTGCCTTGGCCGACGATCGGAGACATGATTCCAGAAATCCCGGGCATCATCGACCTGCAGTGCATCCTGGGCGTCAGATTGAGGGTTCTTGGGTATCTAGGGTTGTGTGTGTTGTTGTTAAGGTTTAATTGGTCCGAAGGTCGGGGTCTGCAAGTCGTGGAGTGGACGGCTGTATCTAGAGCGCGAAGGTAAGCCTTAAACCCCCAAGTCCTAGGTGCAAGTGAGCAATGCTGATCCCCCTCCAATGCAGCGTGTCGCATGGGCTCGGGCACAACACTCGAGAGCTTGAGGCCCCCACACCGAAACACCCAGAACCCTCGAGGGGCATGGCCCTGTGACTGCTCGAGAGTTCCTCGGAAGCAACAGAATCCCGAGGTGGTGACATGCTTAACCTGGCCCGCTGAGTGCGGAGCTTTGATTTTGCTGGTGCTTGGACCGGCGGTCCAAACCGTCTCAGAGCCTGATGGGTCTTGGTCCGAGAGCTTCTGTAGATTGCATGGAGCCGGTTGCTATATCCGGTAAAGACGATCCAAACCCCCGCCACTTTAGACGGGAGACCAGTATCTGGAAAATAATTTGGATATTTGTGATATTCACCTGATACCTGATATACGAGTCAAATATTCATTTCTTCAATAATTATTTAAATCAAGATAATGAAATGTTTAATTTTGATTTATCAGATTGGTCGCCCCCCCCGTTGACAGACCATGCCCTTTCAACTGAGTCGATGTGCATGGTCTGTCAACGGATCGGTGGCTATCAGCTCTCCTAAATTCAATTCCAAAATTTCCAAAATTCTCGCCCCTACTTTCTGGATTTCCAAAATTTCTAAAATTGCCGAAATTTCCAAAAACTCTAAGATTACCGAAATTTGCTAAATTTCCAAAAAGTCCGCCCTTATATTTTGGATAAACCCTGTCCACTAGGTTTGGAATTATTGAAGTTTCGGAAATTTTCGAATTTTTGAAGTTTTTGGAAATTTTGGAAATTTCGGAAATCCGGAAAGATTGGGGAGAGAATTTTGGGAATTTTTGTTATATGTCTTACATGAGATTATTCTGTAGCGTATTTATACTACTCTCGTATATATGTAGTTGTGCTCCACAATACTTTTATTTAGGGGGCCACCCGCACACTTTATCTTATTATTCTTCGTATCGGACTAGAACTATTATTATTCTTGGAGCTAATATGACGTTATAGTAGTATTCACTACTATTGGCTTTAATATAATATTTGTATTTAATATAAGTATTACTATTAATATTAGTAAGTATAAGTTAGTGTGAGTGTTAGTGCCAGAGTCAATNNTCGTATTAGTATTAGTCTTAATGCTGGTATTAATATTACTGTTAATATTGGTAGAAGCTCTCGTATTTGTATTAAAACTAGAAATAATTTTAATATATTAGTAGGCTATTAGATTCATATGCTGGTAGACTTATATATTATTCTCTTGTTATATTAGTACAGTAATATATATAT